GTGCAGGGAAGGGACAGGTGTGCCAGATGCCCACAGGAAGACAGGTGTCCCCCACGCCCTGCAGCGGGCTGATGGCTGGAAGGGGCTTTCTGCTTTGGTCGGAAGGAAATGTCTGGGACACCCTCCATAGCATCATGTGAAGTATCCTGCCCCCCTTGCAGATGACCCAACCTCTGTTAGCACCCAGTGTGTCTGTGACTCTGCTTGTGTCGCAGGGTGTATCACCCTTGCCATCCTGGTGCATCAGCAAAGGAAAGCATGTGATCACTTCCTCATTTAAGTAGAAGTCTTTTTTAAAAGAAGTTGGAAAAATGACAAGATCGTCACTGTTAATTCTAAGTGGCAGGGAAAGGGACACTCAGTAGGAAAATGAGTTGTTTGCTACATTTTCCAGTATCTTGTAGCTGCCTCTAAGTAATTTTTTACAAAGAAAAGTACATATGGTGAGAAAATCTATTGAAACACACTTTTCAAAGATCCATGAAAGCAGAACATCTCTCCACCCTGAGGCTTTGGCACAGCCCGTCTCCGAGTGGATCTGGACTCCGAGCCTTCAAGGTGCTTGTGGCCCTGACAGATTTAGGCAGTGAGCCCAGGTTGAAGTTTCCCCAGACTGCTGAGCCCTGGCCGTACCTCAGACCTCGCCCTGTCCCTGTGGCGCCAGGAGGAAGGGTGGGGATGGGGAAAGCTGACGCTTCTGTTCTGGGAAGCCTGCTGTCAACCCTGCAAGTCAGAGGCCTGACACGGAGACAGGATCCATCCCAGCCAGCTCTGAGGGCTGGCAAAAGCAGAGACCTTGTCATCCCTTCTCCCTGTGGCCACGCCTCATGCGTGCCCTACAGACTCTCCCTTCTCTGTCAGAAGCCTCAGCTGTGAATGGTGCTGGCATCTTGTCATTTAGGCCTGAATTTTAGGATTTTTTTTTTTTGTCCTGAATTGTGGCAAGAAAACACAGTCATTGCTCTATATCAAGCATGTCTAACTTAAGCCAGCGGGCTACATACCTCATTTATTTAAATAAGGCATGATGAGAGTTTGACATGCTTGCTCTAACTGAAGAAGCACCATACCTCCTTGAACACAAGTAGGTGTTGCTATTTTTTGGAGACAGGTTGCCCACACTAACAGCAATCAACCACCGCCTAATAAGAGATTATCTTCAGATACCAGAACACGTTAGCATTGCACCCATCACAGGATCTGTTCCTCTAGCTGCAGCTGCTGCTGTAATTTAGAACAGACACTGAGAACAGCACAGCTGTGCAGCGGCCCCAGGCCGCTCAGTGGCAGAGCTCCGTCATCACAGCCTGAGGTCCCGAAGAGATGCTGTCGGACAGCCCAAGCCAGGGAGAGGCTGCCCCCCCTCCATTCTCTTAGTGCTCCTGCAAATGAGTTTAAATGAGGGGCTCTAGGCAATTGAGTTGTGATAAAGCTAGTTTATTAAAACATGCACATTTATTAGAGAAGCAAGGCAAGCAAACCTATCCATCTGACTTATGAACCGCAGACTGGCGATCAGCTAATCTGAAGAGCAGGTTGGGTGGGAGTCCGAGGCGTTCTGTACCGTACTGGCTATAGGTTTCAGAATAGCCCTGCTGCATATGTTGGTGCAGATTAATTCTCAAGGTTCCTTTTTACTTTGTTGTGGCCTTCCCAGGACACCAGGAGCACCTGGCAGCTTTATCTTGTCATGCCTTGAGGATGCTGGCTTCTCTGCTTAGTAAAAGAAATGAAACTGCCGTTTCTCCTTTCTCCTTCCCCCTCCTTGCCTGCATTCTCTCCTGAGGGAGGCTTTAACCATTTGCTCTCAAAGGTAATGGCTTATTATTTGCAGGCCAACTGCAAATTACCCTCACTGTTTGGTCTTGTTCCAACCTTCTTGTTTCAACTTCCCTATTCCTCCTGCCCTGGCTTGTTCCGGCTTCTCACTGCCCTGCAGCAGAGCCTGGGCCATGTGGCTCTAAGGCTGTGCTTCTTAGAAGAACAGGGTTCTGAGTCCCCCTCCAGGCTGAAAACTGTCGGTAGGTGGGAAGGTGTCGGGCCAAAGGCAGAGCCTCCATGGAGAGGAAGGGCAGAAGGTCAAGGGGCTCAGAGGCAGTGGCCTCACAGGGGCTACAGCGGGACCGAGTGCAGGCGGGAAGATGGCCCCTTTGTGTCCTGGAGCAGAAGGCGGCATTCCAGCATGAGTTCCGGGGAAGAGCCCAAGTTCTGCTGGCAGCCACCATGGTAGGCAGGTGGCCCCCCCAGTGGCGGGGGGAGAGAATAACGGGGAGGGTGCACAGCGTGCGGGGAAAGGAAGGGCCAGCCAGGCCAGTGTGGAGGGGATTGACCCCAGAGGCAGGCTGGAGGCTCACAAGGAAGCGCAGATCAGTTGTAAAACAGAGAAGAAGCCTTTAGTTGTTGTTTTTTTTGCATTTTCAGAGTGGCATGTGAGCTAGATCAACGCTGTAGAACCAACGCTTGAACACATCAGAAAAGAACCTCAGCTTTGGAGTCAGACTGCTGCTGTTTCCTGTGAGGGGAGGCATGTGTTTCCTGTAACAAGATGAAACTAAATGCTTGTCTCTGAGCTTGGGGAAGAATTCCATGATAAAAGAATTGAAGGATCACTGAAGTGGTCCCAGGAGTCTGACCCCTCCTATTATAAATTCACCTGGAATTTGCTAAGCAAATAAAGGAGGGAGCGTAACTGCAGGGCAGTAACAGCAGGGCCAATACCTGCCCTGGGGAGGAGTGGTGGCCAGAGTGAAGGGAGGGACAGCCTAAGGTGCATGGCTTAAGGCACATGTGTCAAACACAAGGCCCGAGGGCCAAGTCCGTCCCGCCAGGCCTTGCAATGTGGCCCGCACCGCGCTGCCATCACTGCACTCTGCTGCGTTTCCATCACAATGACAGTTTATGACTGTTCAGTAAACCATTCGGCCCGCGATTTAAACTGGATTTTAGATTTTGGCCCCTTCTCTGATTGAGTTCGACACCCCTAGCTTAAGGGGAGGCACTTCAGGCAGTCGTCTAATTAGAAACCAACTGGTTCCTTCCTGGCACCCCCTTGTGAGTTAGGTGAGCCTTTAGACATTTTCTCAGGAGGCTGCCAAGTGTCAAATCATCTTTGGAAATTATTCAATGCCTCAAACTTGATTATTTTTGTACCCAAACTGCAAATGCTTAATTTAACAGATGTTCCTTTTTAAAATGCTGCTCATTTTCACCTCTTTCAGCTCAACATATTTCAAGTAAGGCATTTCTTTCTTTTTAAAAATAAGACATCCACAGCCATCTGTCTTTGAAATGTTAAGAAAACAGGTGAAAATCCGAGTGCAAGGATTGTCTTCGAGGTAGGGGTTTTGGGTAGAACTTGCACGTTATACCCTGTGTTATTAAATTACTGCAGGCAGAGGTTGCTTAAGTAACTTTTAATAAGTATTTAAAAGCAGGTGGGATGCTGACATCTGAATCCATCCTTCCAGCCAAGCATGCACTCCCAGGAACACCTGCAAATCTGAGAACAGTGTGTGTGGTTGTGCAAGGAGCAGAAGCTGAGAGAGCCAGTTGCTCCTGCTCTTAGCTGTCAGTGCCCTTATGATCCTGTTCTGTGTTGAGAAGCTGGCATCTATTTCTGACTCAATAGCTGGGTGGCTGAGGGCCTGCAAAATTACCCACGGCCTGGACCTTGGGAGCAGATGAGTACCTCTCTTCAGTAGGCAGAGCTTCGCCTACTGTCTCTGCCATTGCAAAGCAATTAGAGTTCAAATCCGAGTTTGACTGCATTTCTGCCCTGCGCCGGTACAGAGTAGCTGTGACAGCAGGCAATGGGTGAGTGCAGCCAAAGGGATGCTGTCTCCCAGAGGACTTGGTGGTGGCACCCCAAGTCACCCAATAAAAGTAAAGCAGTGGCAGTAGTTCTTGATAGGAACCATGGCTGTATTCTAACTCAGGAAGCACCTGAGTTAGAACAGCTGCTGCTGGTAGATGCAGCTCAAGACAAGTCCACCTCTCCCTGTCCCTTCTTTCAACAATGGCTGCCCTCAAACCTCTCCTGGCACCGAGACTGGCGTTGTTTCTGGAAGACACCCTCCCCCACTCAGATCTTCCTGGCCACACCCCGAGAGGCCATGCCCACTCAGCGATGCCATCAAGGCTGGGAACCTCCTGGAGAGGAAACCAGGGACTGGGTGACTATCAGCAGGACGTTGGACCTCGAGCCAGCAGCCCCTTTGTGTGGATGGTTTAAACACACAAAAGCACACAGGCTGACTGTCATGACATCCCCTGGGCCCTGATTGGCTCACTGAGCTGACGGACACTTGTCTAAATTGTTCCCTGAGCTCCAGTGGGGGAAGCTGGGGAGGGCGTGGCTGCCAGGCCCAGGCAGCCTGAGCATCTGCATGGGCTGCTGGGAGCAGGGGGCCTGGAGGCTTGAACCAGATGCCACCGTGTCCCACGCACCAGTGGGCAGGAGTGGAGCCTGCTCTTGGTTAGAAGGGCACGCGTATTGGGGCAAAGGAGAGAACATGAGAGCACCAGGGGAAGCACACTGGATCTCACGGCTGCCCCACTAAAAAAGCCCGAGGCCGCTCCATGCCTTCTGCCTGGGCCTAGCACTCAACCCGCACATACCTTGAGGGCCCACCCATAGGCAGACCCTCCTCACACCGGGCTTCTCGTTGGACTGGAGGAAGGCAGTGCTTGCCCCTTCAGCACTGGGAAGCAGTCAGCACAGGCTCTGGCGCTGCTGTGTGGGAGCAGATCCAGCCTGGCTCAGCTCTCTGGCCCCGGAGCCGCTGCTCCCACATCCCCAGTGCTCTCAGCGCTCCCCAGGCTTCACCAGCCTCCTGCACAGCTCAGCAGCGAGCAGGAAGAGCTGCATGGATGAGATGATCACGGACACGAAATGTTAATGTTCAACCCAGGGAAGTGGCTCTTACTGGCAAGTTTCCTGCTCCGGCCACCGAGGCCCCTGGGAGCTCACCAGAGGCTTTCACCTTCCTGAAAAGCTGGTTTTTTCCTTTTGGGAGGGGCTGACTCTACTCTTTATGAGAATTTCAAGGCTGCTGTGCCCTGCCCATTTGGGAACACCTCTCCGGCACTCGGTGTCCTTGGGAAGGATTTCCGGGGCGCAGCTGCCTCCCGGACAGACAGGAGGCCCGGCCGCACCATGCGGGCTCTGGTCCTCTCCGGCCTGCTCTGCATGCTGCTGCTCTGCAACTCCGTCTTCTCCGCGGAAGGTAGGACCATGCGGGGTGCTGGGCCTGACGGGGTGTCAGCATCGGGAAGGCTGGAATCAGGAAGTTGGAGGCCAGGCCCCTGGTTGGCAGGCCTGGGCCCCAAAGTCGTCCTGAGTCTCTGCAGCACTTCCCAGTGTCACTCCACGGCCATCATCTCCTCACAGCTCCGGCGCACAGGCGGTGGGAGGGCTCCCCGCCAGGTGGCTCTGCACCGCCAGAATCACGGGCCACTGTGCCACGCTCAAAGCACAGTAAATGTGTGAGCCCCCTCTGGAAGCTGAAGGTACAGGTGTGGTCAGTACTGACCAGCTAGGTGGCTGGTAAGCTACTCAGCTTCTCCGTACCTACAGGATGGGAATGACGACAGTACCTGCCTCAACCGGACAGTATGGTGCACACGTTTGTATTTCCTGGGCAATTAATAGATTATCTGAGTCTGAACATTTCCCATACTCATGCACATAGACGCTGTGGCAGAAGGCATGAGAGGGCACACGTGGGGTTTAGAAGTTGGGGGCGATCCTGTGCCTCTGTGGATATGAGTATTTTGTAGATAGCTAGTATTTTGAGCTTTTTCTCTTACCTAACCCTCTAAAAACTGCCTATTTTTACTCTTGTGTTAGTAGCTATGGTTAGTTAACATTCATTGGGGTTGGGGATGAGGAAGTTTGTATATGGGTGAAAACACCTATCATTTTATGCTGCAAGAATAGCCGTGTTCAACATTTTGATTGTTTCTTTTCAGTATTGCATGCCAGCCTTTTTGTTCGAGGTTGTGTCATATATGATGCTCACCAAGCAGTCAGGATTGGCTCCTAGAGCGTTCACACCAGCATGCCAGTAGCAGTGATCTCTGAGCAAGATGACAGGAAGGGTTTGTTTCCTGACGTGCCTGCATGGACATGGGCGTCTGAGACATGGAGCAAGGCTGGCATCCTCACACACAGGGCTGGCAGTGCAGACAGACCTCCGTTCACCATGGTGGAGGCTGCCACTGCTCCTTCATGAGGATTTAATAAAGATAAAGCTCTTTCCCCATTAAGTTTCCTGTCCATTTAGGAATATCTCTGGCAGATTCTCCATAGCAGTGCTATTCAACTAATTTTTAGGTATAACTTGCCATCAAGTGAATGTGCATGATGAATTTACATGCTTAGACATTTAGATGGCTGACAACTTTGTACTATTTTAGGTATGTGGCAAAGGCATATGTGTACATAAAATAATTCCTATATTTAGGGTTATTATCTAAGGCTCAATGGCCACGGCATGAGCCATGTCTGCGCCCTGAGCCATGAGAGCTGAAGCTCATGCCAGTCATTCCCGCACAGACCAAGCCAGTGCTCCCCCACCCCCACCGCCCTGTGTCCGCCCTCAGGAAGAAGGCATCTTCGGCCTCCTGTCAAGCCCTGGAAAGGCAAGCCCTGCTGTTCCCAAGTTCCTGATCCTGCCCTGAGGACCCAGAAAGGTGAGCACTGCACCCTGGGGGGCCATGTCAGCCCCGCCCAAGCCTGCGCCGGCCTGGTGTGGAGGGGCCATGGACAGACAGGACCGCTGCGCGGGGCCTCCCATCAGTGGGGAAAACTGGCCACCCCAGCTCCAAAGTCAACAAATGAATCATTTTGAACTCAATATGTTCTGTCAAATGAAAGAACAGGATGCAATTAAGAAATGGGGAACTGCCGAAACCAATTTGGCTCAGTGGTAGAGCGTCAGTCTGCGGACTGAAGGGTCCCAGGTTCGATTCCGGTCAAGGGCATGTACGTTGGTTGCGGGCACGTTCCTGGTGGGGGGGGGGTGCAGGAGGCAGCTGGTCGATGTTTCTCTCTCATCGACGTTTCTAGCTCTCTATTCCTCTCTCTTTCTCTCTGTAAAAAATCAATAAAATATATTTAAAAAAAAAAAAGAAAAAAGAAATGGGGAACCAAGGGTGGAGGGAGAGGGTGCAGGCAAGGGGTCTGTGATGTGCAAGAGGAAGGCATGGAGGACAGGGAGGTGGTTGAGAAGTGCTCATGGAAGCTACCAACCAAGGCAGGGCTGGTCTTGGAGCTGGCACAGAAGTCGGACAGATGAGGTCGGCAGGTCAAGAGTTCCGAAGTACAGGCAGGGAGAAGGCCTGGGCATGGCTGGATGGCAGAAGGCATGCAGTGGCGGGAGGCTGCAGGCACCCAGGTCCCAGCCAGGCCAGGGGTAGACTGATGTGTGGGCGTGGGCTGGCCTGGGTGAGAGGTAGGAGTGCTGGACCTCTGCTGACCTGTGGTAGGTGGGTCCTAGAGCCGGGGCAGCACAGTCCTTCAGGGTAAGCTGCAGAGCCTGCCATCAGCCAGGCTGACAGAGCCAAGGTGCCAGCACTCACACCCCAGAGCCTAAGGTCCCCTCCAGGACCGATTCAGGCACCAGCTCCTCTTCCACTACCATTGGTAATGGAGGATACAGTTTGACATGCTTGATGTAGAGCAGTGTTTCCCAAAGTGCGGTACGCGTACCCCCAGGGGTACGGGAAGAGTTTGGTGGGGGTACGAGTTGCGCCGGGGTTTGGTGGGGATATGCACTGCACCGTGCTTAGCTGTGCCTAATTCTACGTTCTCATGATACTCAGCGTTACGAAAATTATAGAAGGAGTACACATATGTCAAAAGTTTGGGAAACACTGATGTAGAGCAATGACTGTTTTCTTGCTACAATCCAGGACAAAAAACCCTCACTAAAATTCAGGCCCATTAAGTACCCTCCATTCCTGTTCCCGCTGGCTCTCTGCACCTAGGCCTGACCAGCTCCAAGAGCCTGTGCACCAGAGGGAGCTAGTGGCTCAGCCTCAGGCCACTCTTTTGAGGAAGGGCATCGCCTCCCACAGGGGCCAGTAGAAGTACCAGACCTCACACCCTGAGCCCAGGGTGCCCAGCACCCAGGCCAAGTGGAGAGTGAGCTGCTGACTGGCTGCCTGGAGCTCAGCTCCCACCTGAGGCCCAACCAGGCGCAGGAGGTGTTTCATGAAAGAAAGAAGGCAGAAACCTAGGGAAGAGAAGCAGCATGTACCCATGCTCAGACCCTCCCCAGGATGTCCCTGCTTGGAGGTGGGAGGGGAGTTAAGGACGTGTGCATACCACATGCTAGCACATGTCTCCCGAGAAACAGCCAGCGACTGCTGTGCGCAGAGCCAGGAGACGGTGAGTCACACAGGACTCCAGAACACCCTGTGAGGGCTCTCGTGGTGGCCGGGGCTTCTTTCAGTGTGTACATGTGTAAAATTCCATCGCAGAGATTTGAACAACTTAGAACAAAAAGAGCAAAACTAACAGTTCTATTATGTCCTTAGCAATCTTCAGTTAAGCCCAGACCACGGGGAAGCATGGTCACTGCTTCATAGTGAGTGCGGAACTGAGGGAAACTGAGGCAGAGCGAGGAGTCTGGCGTGTCCGGACTTCCCTCTGCAGCCACACTCCCCGCTCCTCCGGCTTCCCGCAGTGCATTGGTGAAGCGATTCGCGTGCCCCAGGGGACCTAGGACTCACTTGGCTGTGGCCCTCAGCCACCTGCACCACCCGCTCCACCCGCTGGCCACGCACTCCTCGCTAGGGTCAGCCTCACCGCCACGGTGGAGCCAGAGGCCCTGCCTGCCCTCGGCCCACTGTTTCTCGGGAGGAAGAGTGAGCGGGCCAGGAGGGTGGTCAGGAGGGAGCAGCAGCCATGTGCTCTCAGCTAGTGGGGCTCCTTGTGTGGCCAGCAGGGGCGGGTGTGCCAGCTCTGCTCCCCGTACTGACAGGAGTGCCCGTGGCTTGCCTTTGGAGAGAGAACAGAACCAGGTGGCCTGGAGCGGCCCCTGTGCCCAGGTGGGCGATGGCCCACGCGTGGACATCAGCTGCTCCTCAGCCTCCAGGCTCTCCTGAGCTGTTTCCCTGCAGGTGCTGCGCTCCGAGGGTTGGGGGGTTGGGGGGGAGTGGGTGGAACTGGGACCAACAAAATCATATTCAAAAATCAATGTTCTAGTGGCCAATTGCCAAAGTTACACAGACCAGTTTACCAAAAAGGTCTTTTTCTCAGTGTTAGAACCGAGTAGCACTCTGCCAGCTGCTCTGTCAGTGGCAGTTCTTAAAGCAACGTTCAACCTGCTGGAAGGGGTCAGATGGCAGCTGTTTAGGCCCACCTCATAATAATCCTAAGCTTTAGGTACTATTACTATGGCCATTTTACACATGAGGAACCAATGCACAGAGAGGTTAAGTAACTTATTGAAGGTCACACAGCTAGTAAAATGGTAAACCTGGCTCTGCCCAAATGACCTGGCTCCAGATCCTATGTTCTTACTCTCTCACTTCCTTGCATAGAAATAGCCTGGAAACAGAAGGAGAATAAAAGAAAAGAATAATTTTATTACCATAAGTTATAAGTCTCTCATTCGTGTTTCCTTTGTTTTGTCATGCAAAATGTTTGCCTGGTTTTATTTTTTATTGTATATCATTTTTAAAATTTTTAAATTCACACTATATCATAATCATTTTTTATGTTGCAACGTAGTCTTCATAATCATAGTGCTTTATTATTATTAAATTTTTTTACTGTTGAAGACAAAACTCTGAAGAATTCCTTAGTGCATGCAGTTTTTCCTTTTTTGTGGGTTGTTCGTCCCATAACTTCATCCCAGTTCTGTCATACACATTGCTGAAAGATGGTCTGAGGGTGCGAGGGCCTGCATGCACGTGGGCCTGGCCTCCACCCGGCTCCTCTGCCTCAATGGCAGAGCCAACCAAGCAGCTGAGCCATCTTCTCTCCATCTCCTGCGAGGAAATTGGATTTCTCTCTGACGGATGAAATAGCCTTAGCTGGTCATGCTTGAAGGCCTTGTCTGTGCCTTGGGGAGGAGGGTAGAGTTTGATCCATGCTTTGACTTTTTTAAGATTGTGTCTAGAAGTGAATCCTAATTGTGTTCCCCTCTCTCCACCCCTGGCTCTGCCTGCCGTGTCTGCCTGTTGCTCCTTCCCAGGGCACCGTGTGAGGATCTGCAAACCATGCAAGTTCAAGCCAGAGTCCCCCTTCTGGGTGGTGCCCGGGGCGCTCCCACAGGTTTAGTGTTTCCCAAGCAAGGCTCGGTTCCTGAGGCACCCCGAAGCCCCTGGGTCCCTTCTGGAGCTGGGACTGAGGCAAAGGCCCTGGAAGCCTCTGCCCCAAATCACCGGTCTCCTCCTTAAAGACACAGCATTCCCTGCGCCACTTTGGATTGTTCTTGCCCTGCCTTTCAGAAAAGCCACAATAAAGAAAGAAGAATGCTTGTCTTTCTGAGTGTCCTTGGACAATAACCTAGCACCTTGGGACTCGCATCGGCGTCAGAGATGCAAAAGCTGGTGAGGAAAAGACAAGACCAGGGAAGGCCCCCTTGTCGCTATTCTGAGGCCTCCATTCTCCTCCTTCAACCTTCACTGCTGTGAGCTGGCTGTGGGAGGGCTTCCTCTTGGGCAGCAGGGCCCTGGGGGAGTTCCAGAACCTCAGATCCTGATCCCATCGTGCTGTCAGCCATCAGAGTTACTGTGCACCAAGCTCAGCCCAGTTTGTCTCTGCCCCACCTGGCCTGTGGCACAGGCAGGATTCTCCCAGGACACGTACAGCTATGAATCCAGAGCCTGTAGTGCCTGAGGGTACAGGGAGCAGGCTCCCCAGGGCAGCTGACTGGATGCAGGGGCCCCACTATTCCACACGCGCCCAGCCCCTCCACTTGTATCCAGAGGCCCCTGAGGGGTCCGTTCCTATCTTTCCCATGAGAGTTGGCAGGAATCTATAATAATCCTATGTAATAAGGAAGGAATATGCTAATTGACTGCCCCATCCTCAAAGATGGTGGTGGCATCCACAGCCACAAGATGGCAGTGCCCAGTCTCCTCAGCCCCACTGGGGTGGCAGGCACATGGCAAGGCTGAGCCCACCTAGGGCTATTCTATGTGCCTGCTTCTGGAGTTCCCCCCCTCAGCCCCCGCCCAGTCGCCCAGGGCCAGCCTGAGGCGCAGGCAGCCGGGGCCAGTCGAGGTTTGTGCTGCCGGCAGTGGCAGCAGCAAAGGTGTGATCACCTTCCCCTGATTGCCAGGTCGCCTCTCACCCCTGAGAGCTCCCAGACTGTCAGAGGGGGCAGGCTGGGCTGATGGACCTTCCTCCAGTACATGAATTTTCATGCACCAGGCCTCTAGTAAAAGAGTAATATGCTAATTAGACTGGACAGCCTAATGGCCTGCCTGATGACTTTTCGAAGGAAGGCTGGGCTGCAAGGGCCATGCCCCTTGCATGAATTTCGAGCATCAGGCCTCTAGTAAATAATAATCAGACAAATAAATAAGCAAAATGCCTGGGGCATCCTTGTTTGGGCAAGTCTGTCAGAGGATGTGAGCCCCAAGGTTCTGCTCAAGGAAAGCCCTTCACCACAACACACCCAATGGAGCGGGGAGAATGGGAACTAGCGACAGCAGCAAGGTCTGTGCCAACACCCTAGGATTCAAGTCCCAGCCCTACCAGGATTCCTCTTTTTTGTGAAATAAAGTTCGCAAGACCTACTTAGAGGGCAGACAAGAGGCTCCAACTAGAAGATGGATGTAAAGAGCCCACAGACAAAGGGCTTGCTCACAGGAGCGGGGGTGGGAGGGTGGGCTTGATTAAGGGAAGTCCCTGCCTCCCTGCCCTCACCCAGGGGAGTGTTTGTGTTCACGGTGAACACAGAGCTGCAGGGCTGGGCCTCAGAGGGGCAGATGGCCTAGGTCTGAGAGGCTTATCTCTCAGTAAAGCTCCCTTCAATCGGATTCTCCTGCAAGGTGAGCCCCACACATGTCAGCCTGCCAGGCTGCCAGGTGCAGGGCTCATGGGAAGCGGTGCTCTGTGCGGCCTCGGGGACATGGTCCCAGGGCAGCCAGCAGCCTTGCTTTCCAAGCTTCAGTCACAGCACATGCCTCACGCACGCTTTCTCACCCTCCCAGTTGGCATTGGTCAGACTGGGAGGCTCTGAGACCCTGAGGCTGTGGCTGAGGAGCCATCACAGTCCCACAGAGCTGTGAACACTGCGGGGAGGGATGGGGAGAGGAGGAGCCGGTGCCCGAGCTGAGTTCTGGGGAAGCTATAGATGGGAGAGAAGGTGTCTGTCTGTCTGTTTGGGGTGAAGTAGGGGTGCAGCAAGGGCCAGGCAGGAAAACTTAAGTATTTGGGGGGAAATCAGCAACTGGACAGCAACACCAAGGAACACAGAGAAAGGGGGGCTTCACTATGAGGCCTGTGAGCCCCTGGAAGCATCAGATGTTTAGAGCTTATGCTGAGAGAAGAGCCAGAGCCGCTGTGAGCAGAGGCAAATGCAGGCAGGGAGAGGGGCTGCTGGGATGAAGGCAGGACAGCGAGCCAGGCAGACGGGAGGGTGAGACGTGGCAGCTTATGGCAGCTTGCGGGCTGTTTGGAAGAGACCATTCCTGGGTGTGCAAGGCTCCCACTGAGAGCTTCCTCGCCCGAGAGCGGCCCTGCTGCCTCCTTTATTCTCCCCTCCCACACTCTCCAAAACAGGAAAAGAGAGAAAAATATTACACAAAAGTAAACACCTGTACCCAAGACTCAACCAGGAGGAACAAGTCAAAGGCCACATGCCAAGTCCCTCTTCACACTCAGAAAGCCCCGGCCTGAGGCCCAGCCTTCTGAGCTTGCAGGTGGAAGGGAAAGTCAGACATTAAATGCACAAATAAAAGTGTAACCGGACAACCAAGGGTCCGCACTGCCTGTCACTACTTGAGCCAATTAAGCAGCACTGATTAGTCCAGTCCTCCTGGCAGCATGGGGCAGCAGAAAGTATGCTCTGCCCCACCTTAAGCCGCTGCTTATAGAGGGAGAAGGACAAAGGAAAGTAGGCAAAGGGCAAAAGGGATGAGTCCTCAAAAGGCTCAGCGATATGCAAGGGCTGGGGCTACCTGGGAAACAGCCAGAGGGAGCCTGGCTCCCACGCAAACAGGAGCCTGCAGAGCCGAGGTGCCCAGAGTACCCTCCCGTCACCTGGGGAGCCGCCTCCCAAGCTCGCCATATGGGTTTGAATTGGTGAATCTACGGGATAATCCTGTGCATACGGTGACTCAAGGCTCTCAGGGACCATTTGAGATGACAAGGAAACTCCAAACATCTGAAAGTGACTTTTAGTTAGAAAACTGGACTTCTCAGCAGCCCTGACTCCTTGAAGAACCCAGCCATGTTTGCAGGTTACAGTGGTGCCATTAGAAAGTGTGCAGTCTCCATGGCAACTGAAGGGGCTCACAGGCCCCGACTGTGGGACCCTGTACTGCTGACAGCTTCAAGCTTCCCGAGCAGAGTTGGGTTCGAATGATGGCTCTGTCATGTGCCCACATGGGCCTTAGGTTCCCGCCTCTGCAATGAGACTGAGAGCCTCTCACGGAGAGTAAGTCAGACGAGAAAGGCCTGGTTCTGCAATAGAAGCCTAATGGTCACAGATCTGCTTCCACCAAACAGGACCAGGCTTCCTGGAGTGGTTCATTCCAGCCACTGCAGGGCCTCCTGTTGGCACCGCACACCTACAGCCCCTTGTGCCCACCCCTCTGCTGACTTGTCTCCCAGCTCATCTTGGGGCAAACTGTTGAGGTGGCCCTTCCTGGGGCTGGAGAGTCCAGGACTGGTCTGGTCAGTGCTCCACAGACACTGCGCCGCGCCCTCCCCCCCACCCCCCTCGTGGCTCCAGGGACCCTGCAGCACTTCCCTGCCCTGAGAACAGCAGGAAACTCCCGGGCCCGGCGTGCCAGGCTTCGGTTTAGTCAGGGGCTGGCTCTGTGCTTACTACAATAGCAGCCTGGTAGCCTGCGCCAGCTCCAGAGGCAATTGGTAAGCTTGCTGTCCACGGCTCCATCCCAGGAAAAGGTCATTGGCCCATCTGCTGGCTAACTTTAAAGCACACTGCCCCCAGGGACCTGCAGAGTGTGGGCCAAGGTGGGCGGTGTCAGGTTTCAAGATTTCAGAACCAAAAGGTCCTTTTCTACTTCGAAATGCAATCTTTTTGCTCAACTCAGTGATTAAATATGCTGTGGATCTGAACATGGGTCGTGAGAAGGGGTCTCCACCCCGTGCTATTCGGTGGAGTCAGAGAGACCTGCCCCAGAGGGACCTGCCCTATAGGGACCTGCCCCAGAGGGACCTGCCCTACAGGGACCTGCCCCAGAGGGACCTGCCCCAGAGGGACCTGCCCTACAGGGACCTGCCCTACAGGGACCTGCCCCAGAGGGACCTGCCCTATAGGGACCTGCCCCAGAGGGACCTGCCCTACAGGGACCTGCCCCAGAGGGACCTGCCCCAGAGGGACCTGCCCTACAGGGACCTGCCCCAGAGGGACCTGCCCCAGAGGGACCTGCCCTACAGGGACCTGCCCTACAGGGACCTGCCCCAGAGGGACCTGCCCTATAGGGACCTGCCCCAGAGGGACCTGCCCTACAGGGACCTGCCCCAGAGGGACCTGCCCCAGAGGGACCTGCCCTATAGGGACCTGCCCCAGAGGGACCTGCCCTACAGGGACCTGCCCCAGAGGGACCTGCCCCAGAGGGACCTGCCCTACAGGGACCTGCCCCAGAGAGACCTGCCCTAGAGGGACCTGCCCCAGAGGGACCTGCCCCAGAGGGACCTGCCCTACAGGACCTGCTTTAGAGGGACCTGCCCTAGAGGGACCTGCTCTAGAGGGACCTGCCCTACAGGGACCTGCCCCAGAGGGACCTGCCCCAGAGGGACCTGCCCTACAGGGACCTGCCCCAGAGGGACCTGCCCTATAGGGACCTGCCCCAGAGGGACCTGCCCCAGAGGGACCTGCTCTAGAGGGACCTGCCCTACAGGGGCCTGCTCCAGAGGGACCTGCCCCAGAGGGACCTGCCCTACAGGACCTGCTTTAGAGGGACCTGCCCTAGAGTGACCTGCCCTATAGGGACCTGCCCCAGAGGGACCTGCCCCAGAGGGACCTGCCCTATAGGGACCTGCCCCAGAGGGACCTGCTCTAGAGGGACCTGCCCTACAGGAACCTGACCTAAAGGGATCTGCTCTAGAGAGATCTGCCATAGAGGGCCTGCCCTAGAGGGACCTGCCCTACAGGGATCTGCCTGATTGGCATTTCAGCACAGGTCCATGGTGGGAAGCCCAAGGAGAGGGAGCCAGTGTTGGCAGGCCTGGGGCAGGCCAGGTCACCAGGGTGCTAGAGACAGGCCCTACAGGGACTTGCCCTACAGGGACCTGCCCCAGAGGGACCTGCCCTAGAGTGACCTGCCCTACAGGGACCTGCCCTACAGGGACCTGCCCTAGAGTGACCTGCCCTACAGGAACCTGCCCTACAGGGACCTGTCCCAGAGGGACCTGCCCTAGAGGGACAAGCCCTACAGGGACCTGCCCTACAGCGACATGCCCTACAGGGACCTGCCCCAGAGGGACCTGCCCTACAGGTACCTGCCCTAGAGGGACCTGCCCCAGAGGGACCTGCCCTCCAGGACCTGCCATAGAGGGACCTGCCCTACAGGGACCTGCCCTACAGGGACCTGCCCTACAGGGACCTGCTCCTGAGGGACCTGCCCTACAGGGACCTGCCATAGAGGGACCTGCCCAACAGGGACCTGCCATAGAGGGACCTGCCATAGAGGGACCTGCAATAGAGGGCCTACCCTAGAGGGAACTGCCATAGAGGGACCTGCCTTACAGGGACCTGCCCTACAGGAACCTGCCCTAAAGGGATCTGCTCTAGAGAGATCTGCCATAGAGGGCCTGCCCTACAGGGACCTGCCCTACAGGGATCTGCCTGATTGGCATTTCAGCACAGGTCCATGGTGGGAAGCCCAAGGAGAGGGAGCCAGTGTTGGCAGGCCTGGTGGAGGTCAGGTCACCAGGGTGCTGGAGACAGTGCAGGGTCTGCCCGGAGGGCCAAGCCCAGATGCCACAACGGGGAATCCTTCCTTCCACCAAGCCATCAGGCCCTCCTCACTGTAAGGCCAGGATCAGGCCATGCTGAGGCCTCTACAAAGAGCTGATGTTTCCTGAGCTCTCGAGGCTCTGTCCGTTCACCCCAGAGGTCCCTGGAGGAAGCATTAAAACACCCTCTGTCCCAGGCAAGCCGGGATGGCTAGTCCCTCTAGCAGATGTGAGCCTGTGCAATGTAAGAATACAATATAAATTGCGCCTATAAAGCCAGCGCTGTGGAAAGGGTGTGTGCGCAAGGGGCTCAGCTGAGAACAGCAGCTCCAGGCCCCTCTGCAGCGGGAAGAGCTGTGACTGTGAGTCCAGCGCCAGGGGGACTGAACCAGCTCTGCCCTCAGGCTGGGCGAGCTCGGCAAGGGTACCTCCCTGCGCTCTGCAGCCCTTCCCTCCGCAGGGACAGCACTCCCGAGCGATGACAGCTGCTGGGCCGGCTGGTGGCCTTCTCTGTCCCTCCCCAGGGCCAGGCTGTGGACTGAGCGGACGGAGGAGAGAGAAGCCACTGGTGAGGCGCCAGGACAGAGCGGCTCTTCCGGGTCACTGGCCGGCCCTTCCCCGGGCTCTGCTTCCCTCTGGGACACCCCTGTGGGTGAGGAACCCGTGGGCTCTGCTTCCCTCGGGCACAGGTGTGGGACCGGAGTTTGGTGACACTCTCCCCGCCCCCGCCCTCAGAGGAGGGGCGCTGCTCTCCTGCCGCGGGCGGGGAGGGCGGGACCACAGCCCAGACACGCCCCGGGCCCGCTCGTCCCCGGCGGCCCGCCCCGCCGGCTCCCGGCGCCCGCGGCCAGGGCGCTCCGGAGGGTCTCCGAGCGCAGGCTTCGTACCCCGCCCCCCAACGCCGCCGCGGCCCCGGCTGATCGGCCTCCCAGCCGCCCGCAGCGCCCGCCCTCCGGCCCCGGCCCCCGGCCCCCCGGCTCCGGGACATGCGGGCCGCCCTGGCCCTGGCGCTGCTGCGCCTCTGCCTGGGTGAGCGGGCCGAGTGCGGGCGGGCGGGGGATGCCCGGAGGCGGCGGCTGCTCTGCCCGGGACAGGGGCGGGGGCGGGGGGGCTCCGGGCCCTCTCTGGCTGGGTCCCAGGCCCATTGGGTTTCTGGCCGCGGCCTGCCAGCAGAGGGTGGGGCAGAGACACCCCCCCAGCGGGTCCAAGTGCCGGTGGGCCAGACCCGAGAGCGGGGCGAAGGTCCCCTGTCTGGAGCCACTGCTCTGCTGTCTTCCAGCCAAGGTCAACCTGGCCCCCCACTTCTTCGACAACGGGGCGGGCAGCTCGGACGGAAACATGGCCCTGTTCAGCCTCCCGGAGGACACCCCTGTTGGTGAGGAACCCGAGGAGGGGCCCTCATCCCCCAGACATGCCCACCCCCATGCCCAGGGACCATGCCCGGGAGGAGCTGGGGGCGGAGCCGGCACCCAGAGGCAGGCTCCGGAGGCACATGACGTCACTGCTGGCCCGGCTGCCCAGTGCCCATGGCATGACCCTGAGCACAGGTGCTGACTCCTAGAGTCGCAGATCTTTAGGCTTTAAAATGGCCCAAGAACAATCACCTGCCTGGGCTACTCAGAGAGGAGAGGAGAGACCTGAGTCCTCCCTCCCGGCTGGGCTGGGCAGCCTGAGCAGAAGAACCGCAGAGTGCAGGCCCGGGAGCTGACCTGGCCTGGGGCTCCGCTGCCCAAGCCACTCCTCCTGCCTGACCAGTGCACCCCGCCCCCCTCACCCTCCAACCCCCCTCCCAGTTCCACTCAGGCTGGGCCTTCGCTGGAATCGCACATTCACTGTACAAACAAGGATCCTTGTTCTGAGCCACTGCCACTGCTGAGAAAAGTTGGGTTCCAGATTCCAGACCTCCTGTCCCCTTACAGGCTCTCACGTGTACACGTTGAACGGGACAGACCCCGAGGGTGAACCTGTCTCCTACCACATCAGCTTTGACCCCAGCACTAGAAGCGTCTTTTCTGTTGACTCCAGTTTTGGAAACATCACCCTGATTGAAGAGTTGGACCGAGAGGTATTGGGAGGTGTGAGGGTGCAGCCTTTTGGCGTGGAGACCAGTATCTGTGGGTGAGAGGCCCCCCGAGATGGTCCTTGGAGAGGTCTTATAAGCCACAAAAACTCGGGCTGACCAGGGCTGGTTGCTGGTTTAGGGTGGGTCTGAGTTGGTACAACTCTAGCCTCTGCACCTCGAACCTGCAGTGAGGGGTCAGGGCCCCCCGCCAGCTGGTAGGTTGGCTGTCCACAGAACGGGTGCCTGCCAGTTCTGGTCTGGTGCAGCCACCACCAGTCCGGGGCGGGGAGAGAGAAAGCCTCAACACCTTCCCCACTAAAGTCCCGCTGAGTCTTGGGGCGTGTGCAACCCCACAGACCTGGCCCTCTGTGGTCTGGGGGCTCTGGAGGCTCCGGGGAGACCAGTGGTGTGGAAGGAAAAGGGAGGACATGTAAGACCTTCCTGGACCCGGCCCACAACACCCCGCTCTAGCCAGGGCCATTTTCTGCTGGCTCCTCGGCAGCCTCCTGGGTTAGGAGAACCTGCGTACAAAGCCCTGAAAGAAAGCATGGCCAGAGGCAGCTTTGGGGCACCAGCCCTGCTCCAGACTCCTTCAGGCTCAGGGGAGCAGGGAGGGTTCCCTCATCCTCCAGCCTCGATCTCCTGGACACTCAGTCCTGTGCTTTACAGATGGAGGATGAGATCGAAGCCATCATCAGCATTTCCGACGGCCTGAACCTGGTGAGCAGACACCGGGGCCAGCCCCGGCAGCCGGCAGCCCGCAGCCCAGGCCTGAGCTATTTCCCAGTCCCACCTCCTGGAGGATGGGACTCCCTGCAATCCAAGCTGAGGCCCAGCAAGACCTGCCCCGTGTGTCCCCAGGAGTGGCTGTAGGAGAGGCAGCAGGGAGGGAGGCCGGTGGGAAGGGATGGGGAGAGGAGAAAGCTGGGCACTTCAGTGTCTCCTGGAGTTTTCCCACAGCCACACTCTCAAACCCTACCATGCTTCTTTCCCACAACGGCAGTGGGTCCTGCCTGCAGGCTCCAAACCCCCTCAGCGCTGGGCCAGGGCCATCGAGGACCCAGGCCTGGCCAAGAGCACTAGCAGCTGCCCCCACCCCCTCAGGAGAAAGCCCAAGCCTCAGCCTGGCATTCAGGGTCACCTTGGCCTCGCCCTCCCTTCCACGTTCTCCCCACCAACATCAGCCACAACCTGCTGTGCTCTCTGAGCTCACCAGGGCCCCCTCCTGCTTTGGCAGTGGTGTTCCTTCCCTCTCGTCCTCTCGCCTGACACACTGCTGCAGGCCTACCTCCCACTCCACTGCAAGGCGCCCTGCTGCCTGCCCCCGGGCTGACCGCAGCCTCCAGCACTGTGCACCCGGCCCTCGGGATGCACTGACCTGGGCAAGGTGGGCATGGTGCCCGGGGTCAGGCCTGCCATCACCAAGTGTATCCCACCTTTTACATGCTGACCTTTGCCCTGCCATCTCATTTTGCAAAATAACATGCCACCAGACTATCTTCTGCCTCTGGGATGGAGCACAGTGCTTGGCACCAAGTGGTTGCTTAATAATAATGTTGCATGAATGAATAAAAGAAGGGTGGGGAAGAGAGGGAGGGAGGAAGGGAGGGAGATGGGTAGAGACATATACCTGGGGCACTAGGAGCCACTGTCCTTTTATCACCGGAAGGCCTCACTCCCCAATTCCTGTCCCATTCGCCCTCCTCAGGTGGCAGAGAAAGTCGTGATCCTGGTGACTGATGTCAATGACCAGGCACCCAGGTTCCTCCAGGAGCCGTACACGGTTCAGATTCCTGAGGTGAACTTGGCCCAAGGAAGGACCCATGCATTCCTGCCCAGACCCTGCCTGCCCTCTGGGGCTGCCATGGCACCGAGTCAGGGCCTCCCATCACTGGCTGCCTCAGCGGCCTCCCTCTCACCCCCACCCACTGCCATTCCTCACACGTGCACTCCCCACAGAGGAATGTTCGCTCACCATTCTCCTGGTTTATTGTGGAAATGTGAAATATGTAGAAGAGTAGAGAGAAGAAAGCTTCCATCAACTAGCCAGAAAGTAGATGCAATGCACTCGTTTTGGTGGGTTAAAAAAAGAAATGAACTGTCAGTTTCATCGAATCTGAGTCAGTGCTGACTTGTGGTATGTTCCCGATGACTTCTCAGCCTCTCCCACTGGCCAGGAGGCAAGGCCTTTGCTTAGACTTCGTTCTTACACTTTTTACAAAATTCAGAATCAGTTTTTGATTAATCTACACCATTTAGATATTTTTGTTTTTAGGAAGTTTTATTACATAATAAAAAATGCTATTTTCACTCTAAAAATAAAAACAACCCCTAACCCCTCCAGGTTGAGGTTGCATTGTTAAATTCCGATGTATTTCCTTTCAACTGTTTTTGTGATTATTGGATTTATTTTCTGTGTGTTTTATTATAGGTAATTGGAACTACACTAAGCATGCTTTTTGAATACTTCCCCCGCCCCCATTTAATTTGTAAGCATTCCCCATTACTTTTAAAGTTTGCATAATTATAATTTTAATAGCGCCTGTTAAGTGAACATTGCACCATTTTTGGAACTGTTCCTTTATGTTTAGACTAGAGGTCCGGTGCATGAAATTCGTGGGCTGAGAGGCAGGGGCTGTGCCCTTTGCAGTCTGGGAGCTCTGGGGGGATGTCCAACTGTCCTGGAGGCGGGAGAGGCTCCTACCACCACCACTGTGCTTACCAGCCCAGTTTCTGGCACAATAACCACCAGGGGGCAGCTCCTGTATTGAATGTCTGCCCCCTGGTGGTCAGTGTGCTTCATAGCAACCAGTTGTTCTGCTGTTCAGTCTATTTGCATGTTAGCGGTTTATTATATAGGATATTTAAGATACTTTAAATTTTTGCTGTAAGAAACATCAAATTCTGAACATAACAGTTCTTTCTCTCTAATTAGAATTATTTCCTAAAGATACAGCCAAGATTTGGAATTGCGAGGTTGCAGTGTGAATGCCTGAGTATTGCTGTTTCTCCAGGGTGTGGGTGCTGGGCTCCTGATGTGGGAGGTGTGGGCGAGGTCTTCCTGGCCCTGCGACACTTGGACAGTCATATATTTAAGTGTTTGCTTCAGTGGGAGAAAGGCATTTTATTTTGGTTTGCAATTGTGTGGATTTTATTCCCAGTCATACTGATTATGTCCATGTTTATTAACCCTTTTCTCAGGTCATATTTAAACAGCTTGTCTCCTTGGAGTCTTAGTTTCCTCGTTCTTGGAGGCTGTACAGGGGGTTTAGGGGGGGGGGTCTGCTTGCTCCTCCCTTTCTCTTCCTTCTCTCCACCCGCCCCCCGCCTGACATACCTCTGCCCCTGCCCAGGGCTTCTGGGCTTATCACCCCCTTCCCACCTCTTCTTAGCCCTTCACTCTCTTGACCCTCCGCACCCAGCTCCCCGGCATCCTGCCCCTCTCCCTGGCCTGACCCCTGTGCAACCCTCAGGACACACCTGCTGGGAGCAGTCTCTTTGAGGTCCATGCTGTGGACAAGGACACGGGCTCTGGAGGAAGTGTCACCTACTTCCTGCAGGTGAGCAGGGCGCATCATGTCTGTACAGAGGTCTGGGCTGGCCCCTCTGTCACCAGGCCTTAGGTCAGTGCCTCTACTAGTCCCCACATTGTCAGGAGTGACACATCAGATCCCATGGTTTCAGTGAACGCTGGGGGAAGACAGGCAGGTGAGCACACGAGCGGCAGGGAGGAGGCTGTCTGCTCTTGGCTGCCCCCTTCCCACCATCCTCTGAGCTGGTTGCCTCCCCTTCCCTGATCTCCAGGACTCGCCTTTCTCCCCAAAACCCTTCCCCAGAAGAAGCCTGGATACCTAATTGGTCCCCAACCCCCATTCCTCGGGAGAAAGCTCCTGTGCCTGGAGCTGCCAGTAGGAAAGGGCATCTATCAGCTGTGAACCCCAACCTGTCCATCTGTCCATCAGTCCGTGTGTCCGTCCAGCCACCCAGCCAGCCAGCCATCTTCTCTCCACATTGACTCACTTTCTCTCACAATCTCCCAGGCAACACAGCTTGGTGGTTAAACACAGGTTGGAGGGGAAATCTCTTGGGATCCGCCGGTGCTGGAGAAATGTACCCACCTTCCCATTCAGGGGCCATCCAAAGCCACCTAACGCTCCCAGCTCATCCCTCCCATGTGAGGTGGGGAAGGTGGAAGCATCCTCTTTGGCTGTGAGGTTTAAATCCTCATAAAGTCCAACAACAGCTTCCGACATAGAGGCCCCTCCCAGACGATCTTCTTCTGTCCCCTCATCCTCACCCAGGCGCTGCCTGGGCCTGGTCTCACGCCCAGCTGGTAGGGTTTGAAGCCCCACACCTCTAGTGGGAGCTCTGTGCTGACACCCCACCTGCTTGGACCTGCAGGCCAGGTGCATCCGGAGTTGGACCCAGCTGTTCCCTGGATGAGCTACGGCCTCTGGAAGGAACCCTCTTGTTCTGACTGAGGGAGGGACAGGGAAACCCAGAGGCCAGAGAGGCTGAGCTTCAGGCTGAGGCTGGCGTCCCTGGGACCAAGGACAGTGCAGGTCCCCTTCCGGAAGCAGAGCTGGCATCCTGGGGCCTGCCAGTCCTTCCCCGAGATCTAGCTGCCCTTCACGCCTACAGAACCTGCTGGCCACCCAGTTCACCGTGGACCGACACAGCGGCGTGCTGCGCCTCCGGGCAGGGACCACCCTGGACTACGAGAAGGCCCGGGTCCACTTGGTCACTGTGGTTGCCCAGGTACCAGGGAGGGATGGGGCATGCAGTCCTCCCCAGCCTCTGCCAGGGAAGCCGCACTCGGTGGCAGCGGACCAGGCACTTTGGAGAGCAGTGCCTGGGTCGGGTGGGGCATATCTGATGAGTGGATTCCACACAGATATGGATGCATGCTCCCCTCTGGGGACAGCTAGGCCAGGTCCCTTCCATGGGCCTGGAGATCCCACATCCCAGCATGACCTCAGTCCTGGCCTCTGCTCACCCCCAGACTTACCCCCAGACTCATCCCCCAGACTCACCCCCAGACCCGCTCACTGGCCTTCCTCTGTGTGACCAGTTGCCTCTTGGGGCCTCGGTGTCCTGGCCAGCCTGTCCCTGAGGCTTTAGTCCTCACGTTCCTGTGTGTGGTGGCCCCTGCCCACCTGTGCCCAGAGACAGGAGCATGGCCCCTCGTCAGCCGGGCTCCGCACGGCAGGGCCCAGTCAGACTCTGGTGGGTCCAGGAGGGGGGTGAGATTTGGTTCCTGGATGGGGGGGGTGGGTGACTCCCTCCTTTGCTACTTGTCCAACGTGACCTCCCTGGAGAAAGCCCTCCTTTGAGAGCCAGACACGGCCAGGTCTTGGCATTGTCTCATCCCCCAGCGCGCCTCTGAGAGAGGAACTATTGCAGGGGGGCGGGGGGCAGGAGCAAACAGCACTCAGAGGGCAGCTCCCCGCGCAGGGGCAGGAACCCACACCGTGGAGTCTGTGGGCCGCAGCCCAGCCTCTCTGCTCCCGGTCCTCCCAGGACGGCGGCGGGCAGCTGCGGGGTGCAGCTGCGGTGTTCTCAGCCACCACCACGGTCACGGTCAGCGTGGAGGACGTGCAGGATGTGGGCCCCGTGTTCGTGGGCACTCCCTTCCACGGCTGCGTGTACGAGGACATGGTTCCGGTGGGTGACTGTGTCTCCCCCCTCCTCTGGAAGCCTGAGGGGAGGAAGCAGGTGCGCCTGTGCGAGCACACTGGGTGCAGGACTTCCAGGCATCCCCCCTCATTCACACTCAACTCAGACCCGCCCAGAGGCCGGCCCTGCAAGAGGCCGCCAAGAGCCTGGGAGGGAGGTGACAGCCTTGATCTGGGGTCTTTCCTGCACCTGTGTGAGGTGAGGTGCCCCTGTGCCCCTCAGACAGTGGTTCTCCCATAGTTTGCTGCCAAAGCGTGTGAGCCTGGCTGACATCACACAGGCTCAGCTCCAGCGTCTCCCCTTGTGCAGGCTCTGACCTAAGTGTTTGGGCTCCTTTGCATCCCTTCTGCCTCGGGGGAGGCACCCAAACCCCAGCCTCACAAATCCCTCCCTGAGCTTTCACCATCCTCACCCCCAGCCCAGCACTGCCTTATCCTCTGCCTGGACATGCCCGAGGCCCGAGGCCCTTGCCCTCCCTGCTCAGCCGTGGCACCCCTCCATATCTGGGTTGAGGTGGGAGCTCCCCTCCCTGCTCCCATGCTATGCACCCCCTCATGGGCATGCCCTCCTCGTATGCACCACAGGGTCCCCCAAACCACAGCCCCAGACTTACAGGGCCCTGGCTGAGGCCTCCTGTGGAATTGAGCTTCATCCCCCATTTTCACTTCCTCAGTTTCGGATTATCCTTGACTTTGCAAAGCAATGGAAAACCCTTTCGGAGGACCATTGCCTGGCCAGGCCCAAGTGGGAAATGTCCCCCTCCGGCTGGGGAGAGTGCTGGCCTCCTCCCACCCCCCCTTGCTGGGAGTGGCAGGAGGGCGGCAGGGGGTCCTTTGTGCGGCTGAAGATCAGCCAGGAGAGGAGCCTGAGGAGAGCGCATAGAAGGGGTGTCAGGCCAAGGTCAACAGGGCTTGTCTAGCTGTGCACCCCAGGGACCAAGTAAAAGCTGGTCCTGGACTCCATGTGCTGGCCCCTCCCACCAGCCTCCCACCTCCCCTCTGACACCTCCAAAGGCAAAGCATGGGTGAGAAGAGGGGGTGAAGGGGAGGAGGGCTGAGTGGGCCATGTGGGGAAGGAGGCTAAGTAAGAGGTCTGCGGTGAGAGTCCTTGCAAGGCCAATGGTCCTGTGAGCTCCCCAGAGGGGAGGGGCAATGGAGGCCGGGGTGTCACTGGTGAGGCCAGCACTTCCCCTGGTGACAGGGCAACCTCTGTGGGTGGGGGTGGGGCTACCACCACCCTAGCCTGCAGCCGCTGCTCCTGCTCCCCAGGGCTCTGAGGTGCTGACAGTGGTCGCCATGGATGGAGACAGGGGCAAACCCAACCGCCTTCTCTACAGCCTCATGAACGGTGAGCCAGGGCACCTTTGGGGTGCCAGAGCACATTCCCAACTCCTGGCGTCCAGTCACTACGGCCCAGTGGGCAGAGGCTGGCATGGCCTTGCCGCCTGGCATTAGGGCCAGCCGCAGGGAGAGAGGCGTTGGGCGGGGATCTGAGAACAAAGGGGGGCAGATTCTTTCCTTTTGTTGCCAGAAAGGGCCTGGGCCTGTATGTCCGGCCTGGCCGGCGGCTGGCCGTGTGTGGCTCCTGACTTCCTGCAGGAAAGACTTCCCCACACGAGTGAGGTGCCTGTGAGGCAGCGTTTATGGAAGCCGGGTCGGAAACCAAGAAAGGGTTTCTCAGAGAAGCAGCAGCAGGAGAGCTGGCTGGGCTGCCCTCCCCTCTGGGAGTCAGAGAAAAAGGGGTCTTGGGGTCAGGTTGAGGGGACCAGCCTGCGAGGAGCTGCCACTGCCCATGCCCCCCAGGTTGCAAGTCTCTGGTGTCCCTTAGAGTGGGGGATGGAGGGGAAGCAATGGAGGGGCGGCTCCCCTGGGGTACAGTGGTGGGCCCTGTGTCTTGGGGGTTTGTTTCTCCCTCGCAGGCTGGAATCTGAGGGGAGGCCTTGGAGGTTCCAGCAGAATAGCCCCCAGCTTTCCAGGTGGCTCCTCCGGGCCTTGGTTGCCACGGAAGGCTCAGTGTCAGGGCCTAGGCTGTCAGTCATCACAGCTGGTCCTGATGCGGCCCACCTGGTTCTGTGCTTTTCTGGGCCGAGATGTCCTGTCCTTGGAAGGAGTCACCTGTGGGGGGAGTCACCTGTGGAGGCGTCACCTGTGGAGGAGTTATCAGTGGAGGAGTCACCTGTGGGAGGAGTTATTTGTGGAGGAGTCACCTGTGGGAGGAATCACCTGTGGGGGGAGTTATCTGTGGGAGGAGGTATCTGTGGGAGGAGTTATCTGTGGGAAGAGTTACCTGTGGGAGGAGTTACATGTGGGAGGAGTTATCTGTGGGAGGAGGTATCTGTGGGAGGAGTTATCTGTGAGAGGAGTTATCTGTGGGAAGAGTTACCTGTGGGAGGAGTTACATGTGGGAGGAGTTATCTGTGGGAGGAGGTATCTGTGGGAGGAGTTATCTGTGAGAGGAGTTATCTGTGGGAAGAGTTACCTGTGGGAGGAGTTACATGTGGGAGGAGTTATCTGTGGGAGGAGGTATCTGTGGGAGGAGTTATCTGTGAGAGGAGTTATCTGTGGGAGGAAGTATCTGTGGGAGGAGTTATCTGTGAGAGGAATTATCTGTGGGAGGAGTCATCTGTGGGAAGAGTTACCTATGGGAGGAGTTACCTGTGGGAGGAGTTATCTGTGGGAGGAGTTATCTGTGGGAGGAGTTATCTGTGGGAGGAGGTATCTGTGGGAGGAGTTATCTGTGGGAGGAGTCACCTGTGGAAGAGTCACCTGTGGAGGAGTTATCTGTGGGAGGAATCACCTGTGGGGGGAGTTATCTGTGGGAGGAGGTATCTGTGGGAGGAGTTTCCTGTGGGGGGAGTCACCTGTGGGAGGAGTTACTTCCTCTCCTTCCTCCTCCTCCCTCTCCCCTCTCCTCCTCTCGCCTCTTTTCTTTCATTCTGTCTTTTTTCTCCCCTCTCCTTCTTTCCTCTCTCCTTTGTATCGCCCCGTCTTTCGATTTACATTGAGCGCGTGCGCGCTCACACACACACACACACACACACACACACGCACATACCCTGTCCCAGGCAGAGTGCATGGACCTGGGCGCCCAATAGAAGGGGGTCCAGTCCCCACGAGGCATTGATGTGACAGCCCCTCCCCGTGGAGGAGACAGATTGGCCCACGGAGCATATGGGACCCCACCTGGCGAGGCTCCTGCCCCCGCGCGGCCAGCACTGTAGGGGCGTCTCCTCCAACAGGGAGTGACGACGCCTTCGACATTAACACGACGTCTGGAGCCATCGTGGTCACCCAGAGCCCGGCCCAGCTCCGGAGAGAGGTGTATGAGCTGCAAGTGCAGGTACTGGCCTTCCCCGCCCTCTTGCCGTGAAGGTACCCAAGGCAAGGAGACCCGCCCACGCGGGGGCCTGCCTGAGCGGGAGGGATGCGGGGAGAGACAGGGAGACAGAAGTGGGCAAAGTGCAAATGGGAAGAGGCGCCACAGAGTACGCCACAGAGCACAACCAGGCGGCCTAGGGGAGGGCGGGGAGAGGATGGTGACACGGTGTGCCAGCCAGCGGGGAGGCCGGACCAGGACAGGAGTTTGCTGCGCAGGAAAAGTCAGGTTGAAAATTCCAACCTGAACACAGCGCGGGGCGCAGGGAGAGTGCACATGCAGTGCTGTGAAGGGAGGGCAGAGATCGCACAGGATGCTGGGGAGGAGCCATAGTATCTACTGCTGCTTCCCCCTCTCCCAGCCTCCCCCGGCCCAGGGCCCAGGCAGAGCTTGGCAGAGCTGGACTTCGATCCCTCTGGCTGCAAAGGGGGGTGGTGCAGTGAGGTGAAGAGAACACTGACTGCAGAGTCCCATACACCTGCCACTCAGTCACTGAGTCCAGGTACTGCCCTCCTCCCCCACCTCGCCTGGTCAGTGGCTCAGTCACTGCACCGGATGGCTCTCCTGTGGCCATTATAATAGAGCAAGCATGTCAAACTCAAAGGCTCACACGTGCCAGATAAACAAGGTGTAAGCTTATGTGGCCGCAAAAAATAAAAAGCTTCCGTTTTCACAGAAGCATGGGTTTATTTAAACAGACATATGTATTACAGGATATTGTAAAAAATGAGTTATGAAATGCTTGTTAAGACGTTTCTTACATTCTGTTATGTTGGCTGGGCCGCATGCGGTCCGCAGGCAGTGTTTGGCATGCTTGGTGTGGACGATCACAAACCTAGAGGTTTTGAAACATTCCTCATTGCAGCTTCTCTGGGTCAGGAGTCCAGGCTCAGCCCAGTGGGTCCCTGGGCACTCCCCTGGCGGAGAGTCGGATTTCCTTCCTCGTGGGCAGATGGGCTCAGAGACTCGGAGCGGGTGGGGGTGTCTGCTGGCAGACGCTGTTTGAGCAGCTTGTGATCGAGTCACTGAGTGGTATCTCATCACCTTGTCACCCTTATCGCTAACGAGCCTCTAAGCAGACCACATGCCAGGAGAGAGTGAGGGATGACCACTGGGAGGTGGGCCATGCAGCCGTCCCAGGGTCAGCCTGTCCCAGCACCAGGGCACCTGTCTCCATCCCAGGTGACTGAGGTCAGTGCTGCAGGGAGCCCCGCTGCCCAGGCCACGGTCCCCGTCACCATCAGGATCGTGGACATCAACAACCACCCACCTGTGTTCTACGGAGAAAGCGGGCCCCAGACCAGGTTCGAGCTGTCCCTGTTCGAGCACCCGCCCCCGGGGGAGATCCTGCGCGGCCTCAAGGTCACCGTCAAAGATGCAGACCAGGTGTGTGGCTCTGCCCTCCACCTGTCTTCCTGAGAATCGCATGGGGCCAGCGTCTCACACGGCTTGTCACAGGGCATGTGGCCACCTCGGGAACAGAGCAGAAGGGGAACCCAGAAAGCGTAGGAGAGGCTGGCAAAGCCTGATTGGCCAGACATTTATGATTAGTTACAAAGTCAAAGTCAAACACAAGCACCGCCTGCCTGTCTGGCCTGGTGGGTCTGTGAGCGTGGCCTGTGGCCCCTGCGCCAGCGTGGGGCGCGGCCTCGGGCCTTCAGTGCGGTCCTCACAGCCATTAACCCTCCAGATAGGTTGCTCGCCTTCAGGAAGAAGGAAAGCTTGCCTCCACACTGAGGGCTGCTGAGTGTGAGTTCTGTTCTCATTCACCTTCTTGTTTCCTCTCCAAACCTCCATCCAGGGCTCCAATGCCAAGTTCGCCCTGCAGCTGGTGGGGTTGGGGGGCGCCTTCCGCGTGGTCCCTCAGACAGCCTTGAAGGAAGCCCAAGTCACAGTCCTCACTGAGAACTCAGCCGCCATTGACTTTGAGAAGTTCAGAGTGTTAACCTTCCAGGTATGTGACGCTCTGCGCTGCAGGGCAGGGAGCAGGGCCTGGCAGCTCAGGCAGCCCTGGATGCATTCCTGAGGGCCCCTGAGCCCCTGTCCCTTCTCATCCTACTCTCTCTCAGACCCTTTGCCTTGCTGCTGACTTGGGGAGGGAAATGAAGGTGACATGAGAGCCTCCTCCTGTGGCCACACAGCTTCTCTGAGCCTCAGCTTCTAACCCACAACTACGGACTGCACGGAGTGCCAAGGGGAGACTACAGTAGGATGTGCATGTTACTAGGTGGAGAGCCCTGCTCGTGTGGCTCAATGGATAGAGTGTCGGTCTGGAGACTGTTTGATTCTGGTCAGGGCACATGGGGTGTGCAGGAGGCAGCCGATCAATGATTCTCATCATTTCTATCTCTCTCTCCTCCCTCTCCCTTCCTCTCTGAAATCAATAAAAATATATTAAAAAAAAAAACAGGTGAAGAAAGAAACACTACTTGACACAATACATTTTCTTCTTATATACATTTGACATCTGTCACCTACTCTGATAAAAACTTTAGCAAAACATAAAAAATACTCCTTAGTATTTGCAATTATTTAAAACTATAACATATAAACAACATCTATTACACATAAACACATAAGTAATATATATTAATAAAAATGAAAAATACTTTGTTGATATTATTTAAATTATTGTAATTACTTATAATTAATTATACATACACACACAGCGCCAGCATCATTCTTTTTTAAAATATATTTTTATTGATTTTAGAGAGTAAGGAACAAGAGAGAGATAGAAACATTAATGATGAGAGAGATTTATTGACTGGCTGCCTCCTGCAAGCCCACACTGGGGATCGAGCCTACAACCTGGGCCTGTGCCCTGACTGGAAATTGAACCATGACCTCTTGGTTTATAGGCCAACATTCAACCACTGAGCCATGCTACCTGGGCAAACCAACATCATTCTTAAAAGTGAAATTCAAAAGCATTCTATGAAGCCAGAAACAAAACATAGATGTCTGCTATAACCACTATTATTGATACTATTCCTGAAATAGTATTATTCCTGGGTAAAGAAGGGAAATAAGAGGTATAAACATTAGAAAGGAAACGCCAATTTTATCATTTCTTAGGTGATGTGATTGTTTGCTTAGAAAAACCTAAGAGGAATAGAAAAATAGTCAGAAACACACCAAAGTTGTTAACCTGATTGGCTACAAAGTTAATGCACAAAATTCAATAATTTTCCTACATACAACAAATAGCAATGGAAATAATAGGATAACGGTTTTTCTTTTACAAAAACAATTAGCAAAAACATTTCCTAGGAATTCCTATAACAAGAAATAGGGTACATCTAAATGACAAAAAAAAAAAGCGCAAAAATTTAACAAACAGATAAAAAGAAGAAAACCCTGTTAAAAATGCCAATTCTCCTTAATAAAGAATCCAATGCCACCTCAATTAAGTCTTATCTAGAATTTCCTTCAGAGAGGTGGTGAGGGGACTTGACACCATCTGGAGAAATAAATATATAAACACTAGGGGTCCAGTGCATAAATTCATGCACTTTGAAAGGGACTGTGGGCCTCGAGGCTGCAATGGGCACAGGGGCAGGTCTCAGCCCCTCCTGCACACCCTACCCAGGCCTGATTGCCCCTCAGGAGCAGGGGGAGGTGGAGAAGCTCTCAGGGATGATCAGGGCCGGCAGACACCACTCGCACCCACTGATGGTGCTGAGTGATTGGTACCGGTGCTGGGTGCAGGCAGCGGGTGCGAGTGTGAGCAGGGCTGGCACAGGCAGCAGGTGAAGCACTGTGTGGGACCGTGGCACATGGGAGCAAAGAATTTTCAGTAACCACCAGAGGCTCGCCCCAATGACTGACAGAATCTTAACTTGGTCTGGCGCCTCTGCTCACCTGCTCCACCATCATCCCACTGCACACAACGCCTGCTGTGTTTCGTGCTCTGCTCCCTGCTGCTGACACCACCATGTTCCACACTTGGCCCCTGGTGGTCAGCGCATGTCATAGTAACTGGTTGTTCAGGTGTTCCACAGTTCCGCCTATTTTCATATTAGGGTTTTATATAGAGATAGTTGGGAAAACTCAGAAAAAAAGAATGAGGCAGGAATTTGCTCTAACAAATACCAAATTATATAATAGCATAAAGCACAATAAATTTTAAATTTGGAACTAAAAAGGAATATGCAGATTAGTGGAACAAAAGAAACTGGCGGAAATACTAGTTGGAACTATAAGAAAGCTGCCTGTGTAAGTTGGTGGGGGAGTGATGGAAACCTTCCAGGTGCCTCCTGCGGTGGCGGCAGGAACAGTGGCTGAGAGTCAGGACTGAGAAGAGGCAGGTGGACCTAGGCCAGGATGAGAAGAGGATCAGCACCTGACCTGCCTCTTTTCCTCCCTCCCCAGCTCCTGGCCACTGAGGTGGACACGGCCGAGAAGTTCAGTGCCACCGCGCATGTGGTGGTGCAGCTGCTGGACACCAACGACAATGCCCCACAGTTCACCTCTCCCCACTACGTTGCCAGGGTTCCTGAGGACGCCCCCGGGGGCTCCACCGTGGTGGCTGTCAGGGTGGGTTGGGGACTGGTTCCAGGACGGGATCGGGGTGGCGATCTCTGAAGGAGTCCTTACGAAGTCAGACAGGTCTAGGCTGCAGCCTGAGTTGTGATCTCAAGAGCCTGCCCTTGATAGGCTTCCGGCCCTCAGGGAGCCCCTGGGGTTCCTTCTTTATGATGGGATGTAGTCCCAGGATTACGAGGGGGGCATGAGTGTGAGCCCCAAACTCAGGCATGGCCCCGCCTCCTTCCCTCTCACTGACAAAGAGGAGGAGGGTACACACCTTGCAGATCTACACCCTTTGGGACCTCACACACTTGAGATCCCCTGGGCTGTGGGAAGCCTCCATCAGTTTCCACCTGAGCCAGGCAAACCCCACCCTCCTGCTTTGCCATTGAAAACAACTCAGAACTGCCAATGTGCCCACGATGAGGCAGGTACCACAGGGCGCTTTCTCTTCCAGGCTGTGGATGTGGACACAGACCCCTGGGGTGAAGTCACGTACTTTGTCTACGGGCCGGAGGCAGACCTGTACGTAGACCCGACCTCAGGCAGGGCCTTGGGCAAGGCCAGGGAGGCTGAGGGTGGGCGGGTTCTGTGCCACAGTCCAGAATGAGCTGGGGAGGACAGGACTTGGTCTGTTGGAGTGGAGATTAAGCAGAGACCCAAGGCGAGGTGCAGGGCTAAAGAGGGGAGGCTCCCAATGGCTGGGAGCTGAGGCCCTGACCTCAGGAGCCACCAAGCAGCTGCCGGGAGACCAACAGTGGCAGGAGGGGCATGTCCTTTAGTTGGATGTCAGTGGTGGCATATGGGTGGACCTGCCTCTCTTGGTGAGACTGCAGGAATAGGGGACCTTGGAGGAGCTGCACAGTTACAGGCACACATGTCCATGTGCATGTCCATGTGTTCATGTGTGTCCACATGTGTCCATGTGTGTCCACATGTGTGCACACCCTGCCTCTTCTCTATGCCTGCCAGCTTTCAGGTCCACTCCTCCACGGGGGTTATCTGCACGCAGCCCTGGGCCAGCCTGGATGCTGAGGCCACTGCCAGGTACAGCTTCCATGTAAGAGCAGAGGATGCGGGGGGCAGGCATGACCTGGCCAATGTGACCGTCTTGCTGCTGGATGTCAATGACCACCCCCCCCAGTTTGGACAGAGCATCCAGGAGAAGACGATGGTGCTGGGGATCCCTGTGAAAATTGAGGTGGGCTTCAGGTAGCTCAGTGGCCCTAAAGCCTTGTTTCACAGCTGCAAGAGACAGTGTGGCTAAGAATTTATTTCAAAACTAGAGGCCTGATACACAAAATTCATGCATGAGGTTGCAGAGGTCCCCCAGCCCAGCCTGCACCCTCTTCAATCTGGGACCCCTTGGGGGATGTCTGACTGCCTCTAAAAATCTGGGACTTCTGGCTTCTAACTGCTTGCCTACCTGCCTGCCTGATTGCCCTAACCACCTCCGCCTGCCTGATTGCCCTAACTGTTCCCCTGCTGGCCTGATTGCCCCTAATTGCCTCTGCCTTGCCCCACACCCAGGACCCAGGATTCCCTCCTCCAACCGGTCGCAGGCACCCAGGAGATGGGCTGTCTTTGCCTGGGCCGGCCACAGCCACAGGGGACTGTGGACAGGCAGCTTGTCCCTCTACGGGATCACAGCCTGGCTGGTCCCCTTTCCTCTCTCCTCAGTGTTGAGTGTCTGAGCAGTTACGGTGTGATGGCATGATGACCATTTGCATAGTAGCTCTTTATTACATAGGATACTATATACTGAATTCTCGCTCTGGGCTAGGGTTTTAAGGTAACTGCTAGGTCCCCACCCTCACCTCAGCCCAGAAATAACGCCTGAGAAGCAGATGTTATTGTGGCTCCACCAAACAAAGGATGGAGTCCAAACACAAACAGGCTCCTCCGATGGGCTGGGCTGGCTGGCGCCGGTCCCACAGCAGGTCTCAGAGCCACGCTTTGGCCACCGTGCAGGTTTCCCCTGAGGAGATGTGTGACCTCTGACCCCAAGCCTGACCTTCAGCTCTCACCTTCACCATCTGTCCTCAGACCCACCACCTGGTATCCCAGCTTTTGTTTTCCAACAGCACCTGCTTCCAATAGTTCTGAGCGTGGGCAGCAGGCACAGGTCGGGGGCCTGGCAGGGCGCTGGCTCACAGTGGGGCACACACGCAATTTCTCTCCCGGCTCCAAGCCACTCTGTGGGTCAGGACCTGTCCCATCGGCCCAGGCAGCTCAGACGGGACACAGCGTGTCCCATCAGCCCAGCTGCCGCGTGTGCCCGGGCAGCTCAGACGGGACACAGCGTGTCCTGGAAGCCCAGCTGCCGCGTGTGCCCGGGCAGCTCAGACAGGACACAGCGTGTCCTGGAAGCCCAGCTGCCGCGTGTGCCCGGGCAGCTCAGACGGGACACAGCGTGTCCTGGAAGCCCAGCTGCCCCTCTCGCTGTGCTCAGGCCACAGACCTGGATGCAGAGGCACCCAACAACCTGGTGGACTACTCCATCCTGCGCGCGGAGCCGGCCAGCGTGTTTGACATCGATGCACGCACGGGACAGATCAGGCTCAAGAGCTCCATCCGCTCCCTGGATGCCCTGTGCAACATCACACACAATGGCGACTGCACATGGGCCCTGGAGGTGCAGGCCAAGGACCGTGGCTCCCCATCCTTCAGCACCATGGCCGTCCTCAGGATTGACATCACAGATGCTGAGGTGGGTGTGAAGCTCGGATGGGGCAGGCTCCGAGGGCCTCTCAGAACTCACTGCAGCATGACCAGAGGGAGACACTATCTCCAGCTTCCTCTGAAAGACTCAATGTTGAGCAGGCTTCTGCACCATCACATACACCAGCTTTAGGATGAGGTTGAAGTCCTAGTTTCATTACTCACTAATGGACTTTTCCAGGCCTCCACTTCCTTTTCTATAAAATGGGAATAATGATACCTCCTTGTTATGGGTGTTGACAGCGGAAGTGAAATCATTATGTAGAGCTCTCAGGTAAATGTCAGGAAGAAAAAGTCATTATTTTAAGGCATTCCTATTACATTCAGGCAGGTGTGGCCCCCATAATCAAAGGTAAATTACATCCTACTCTCTGGAAAACAGAAACCAAATAATGAGAAGGTCTAGATCCGAGAGAGGATGTTTGCATCATGCTTCCTCTGGGTGCATTTCCGGGTGGGGCACAGGCACCGTGTGCTGTTCTCTGGGTGCATTTCCAGGTGAGGCACAGGCACCGTGTGCTGTTCTCTGGGTGCATTTCCGGGTGAGGCACAGGCATCGTGTGCTGTTCTCTGGGTGCATTTCCGGGTGAGGCACAGGCACCGTGTGCTGTTCTCTGGGTGCATTTTTCTGGAATGAAGCCCACAGTGCTCACCAGACTCTCAAGGGAGACCTGGTGTCAGCAAATTCAAAACCATTGGACTTCCGGGAGCTTGTGTCCTCGCTCTGTCCTTTAGGGACTAGCAGGGGCCACTGAGTGAGGTGGCTCTCTCTTCCAGACGCTGCCCTGGACCTCCATGGACACCTTTCTGACACAGACCAGAGACGAACCTGCGAAGGCTATGGGTGTGCTGGCCGGCGCCATGGCCATTACTGTGGCCATCACTGCCCTTGTGTCCACTGCCACCTTCTGGCACAAGAAGTCCAACAAGGTTCTGCCAGTGCGGCGCGTGCTTCGCAGGCGGCCCTGCCCTGCCCCCCGCGCTGCCCACAGCAATTGGCTCAAGTGCAATAGGACCGAGGCTGCAGCCAAGTTTGTTCTCAAAGAGGATCCCCCCAGTGAGAACTGCAACAGCAGCCTGGGCAGCCCCCCAGCCCCAAGAGCCCCAATGCCCCCTCCTCTACCCAGAGTGGCACCCGACGCGGGGGCACCCCTCTCAACTGTGCCCACAGTCTCTGGCTCACTCACCTCTCTGCAACCTCGAGGGTCACCCAAACACAGTGCCTCGGGGAGCCCCATCCAGTCAGCTCTGGTCTCCGAGCTCAGGCAGCAGTTTGAGAGGAAGAGTAGAGCTGACGAGGAGCGCTTTTAGAGAGCGGCCCGAGCCCCTCTCTTTCCCACCTCCTTCTCCCCTCTCTGCTCCTTAGGGTCACCCTGTTCTGTACGATAGTGTAACCCCCATATTCAGGGCTCTGGATAACACCGCGGGGCAAGGGGTTTCCCTGGTTCCGGGTGTGATGGGCCAGTACTTCCCATTGCTCTGGTGCTTGGCAGCTGCTCTCCATTCGGCAGAAGCCAGGAATCAACTAGGAGTCAGCTCTGTCTCCTGCTCACAGTCCCAGACCACACCCCTTGGTTCTCCTGTGGCCTCTGCACCTTCAGGCGAGGAGCGGGGGTGGCTCCTGGGACAAGGCCATCTGGAGCCCCACCCTGGCGCTCCAGCAGAGAGCAGGGGAGGAAAGCAGGCCCAGTGCTGGCTGGGGCTGGCGGTCAGCAGCCTCGCAGACTGAGGGAGAGCAAATGGGCGGGAAAGGCAGAGCTGCACTGGGAGCACGCAGGCAGCTGAATGTGAGGTTGTGCTGGGGCCGCTAGCAAGGTGTGGGGTGGGCAAAGTGTTTGAGCAGAGACCGTGGGCCCTCCTGTGCCCACGGGAACCAGGGACACGGGTGTAAAAAGGGCCTTGCAAGAGGGAGAGTGGATGCCTGGCCTGGGCTTCCCTGAGCCCAGAGTGTTCAAGCTGGAGCGGGGTTGGGTGGGCGTGGGGAGGGGGGGGTCCTAGTGGCCTCAGGAAAAGCTTCACGTCCCTTGCAGAAGGAGCTGTTCCCTCCCCCCACCGAAGCCGTGGAGGGAGCAGGCAGGTGTCAGGGCTGAGATCTGGGGAGACCTGCGCTCTTCTCCTCCACGGTGTAGCCGTCTGGAAGCTGCTGGAACTCCCAGCTCATCCTCCTTGTTTGTGAGATGAAGAAAGTGAGTCCTGTGGCCCGCACTCAGGCCCAGGGTAAGTGGGAAGTGACAGTGGGGACAGGGCTTTCACCAAGTGCAAGCAGCACCCATGGGTTCTCCGCAGGCCGTTCTCGGGGTGAGCTCTTCCAGGAAGTGTCAGGGACTCTTGGCTGCTCTGCCGAGCACCCCAGGAAGAGCTGTGCGGGGCGAGGGTGTTGCCACTGACCCAGCAGCCAGAGCAGGAGGCGGCATTGCCGGGTCCCAGTCCCCAGCCCCCTGGGTGCGGCGCAGCCAGCCCAGCCTCCATCTGCAAGGTGAGAGGAGAAGGCCCTGGGGCTTGTCCGCGGGTCCAGGCTCCACAGCCACTGGAGGCCACCCGGGGAGGAGCCCCAGCTCCCCCGCCCTCCCCCGGGAACATAGAGGCTGCAGCCCTTCAGGAAATGGGACAGCCTTTACATGTTGCCACCTCATTAAGAACCCTCTAGAATTTGCCCATGATCTTATTCAAGCAGGTGATGTGCACATGTGGGGTACTGGTTCTGAGGAGTTTGGGAAGCTCCTCAGGAGGGCCACATAGGCTGCTGGCCAGGCTCCTGCAGCCCCTGCCCCCGGAGTAGTGACAGGTGGGCTCTGGGGAGCCAGGGCCCCGACGGACAGATGGTCTGCAGAGTGTCAGGCAGCAATGGGCCAGGTCAGTCCCAGCGGCCCGCAGCCACTCCTCTGTGAAGGTAAATACCACCTCCAGCAGCCACACCTCCGGATCCTACTGAGGCTCCAGGTGGTCTGGATCCTGGTCCTGTCAGGCGTGATTTTGGGCCTCACTTCCTCTTAAGCACAAGGAACAAAGATGTGTTTCCAGGAGGATGACAGGAGCTGCCTAGGCAAGACCACCTTCAGCTCTATGCGTGCAGCATAGCGGAGACGGCTGCTGTTCTTGGTTGTAAAACAGGACTGAGCATGACAAGGGTCTCCACGCTGAGCACCAGGTCCTGGGGGTGAGGCCCTCAGGCATCCTCATCTCCAAGATGTTCCCCCACCGCTAGACCTGACCCCAGCACACAGGCAGCATCCCCGGGCAGACAGCGAGGCTTCTGGGGTCAGGGAGATAGGAGGGACGCCACATGGAGATGGGCATGCACCCATGGGAGACCCTTAGGGGTCACAGAAATCACTTGGAAGGAGGCGGTGCTTGGAAGGGCCCAGTTTCCAGAATGAGGCAGGGATGGCCTGCGACTGTTTGTGATCAATAAAGAAGTGGCTAATTTTGCAGCCACAGGCTGGTGATGCTGGGGTGTCACAAGGCCATGGAATCCTGCAAATGCATCTCCAGTTGAATAATTCCAGCAATCCACTCAGTGGTCATCTGTGCCAGGCCTCTCCAGGAAGGAGACGGCTCTTGTAACCAGAGGAAGACAAGACAGACAGGCGTCCTCCCATGGGTGCTGTGCGGAGCCGGGCCAGCAGAGCGCATTCTGGAGGCGAGAAGCCTGCACACCCTCTCTCCTGAGTCAAAGGCATTGGCCTCAAACTGCATCGTCAGAACTCTGAATACTAATTACCCATCAATTAACCAGGACATGTGAAGGATATTAGCAGAGGTAGCATGTCATCACATATATACTTATACATGTACACACGTGAGTGATCCTAATAAGCTCTGATGCTCCAAACAGCCAAGTGTGTATGCTGGGTCACATTCAACACACACACACACACACACACAGCCTGACACATCGTGAATGGTGATAACATTTATTGTGGTGATGCTTACTGAGGACTTATTATGTGACAGGCATTGTTCTGACAGCTTCAGTTCACATGTAAAAACTCATATAACCATCCAAACAAGCCCATGGGGTAGGTAGGAACTATTTTTACCCCCACTTTACAGATGAGGAAGTTAAGGCACAGAGCAAAGCGGTAACCTGACTGATGTTCCAAAGCAAGTATGAAGCAAAGCTAACACCCAAGTTCAAGAAACTGGGTTCCAGCGTCTGCTCTTGCTCCCATATCCATGTTGCCCATCAATCCGATGAATGCACGTCTTCATGCAAGGATTTTTTGCAGGGACATAGAAGGGTCTTAGAGAGCAAGATTCCCAAAAATCCTCCACAGGCCTTCTCCCTCCCTCAGTTTCCACACTCACAGAAGCAGCTGAGCTGCCCAGTGCGCAGACATGCTCCTGACCTCGGAGGCAATAGGACAGGTTCTGGCCTTGCTCTAACCATTTTCTTTAAAACTTATCCCAAGAAGTTTCACAGGAACAAATTCTATTATACCAGGTGCATGTATGGATATGTGATTTGTACAGGTATAAGTATATATGTACATAACATGTAAAAATATGTGTTCTTTGTTGTGAGGATTGTCTGTTATAAATAAAACTAAAGGCCCGGATGCACGAAATTCATACAAGAGGAGGCCTTCCTTCCCCTGGCTGCTGGCACTGGCTTCCCTCCAGCACCAGCTTCTCTTGCAGCCCCGGCTTCATCTGGAAGGTCATCTGTTCTAATTAGCATATTATGCTTTTATTATTGCAGATAAAATAAAATGCTCACGGGTGCTCCAGAGCTCTGTGTTTGCCTTTAAACGTACCAGTATTGTTGTTTTTTAACTTGAGGGTGATGATTAGATGAAAGGAGACTAGAAAATGTTAAAAAAATCATTGAACCTGCCCTGGCCAGTGTGCTCAGTGGTTAGAATGTCAGCCCATGCACTGAAGGGTTTTGGGTTCAATTCCTGGTCAAGGACATATACCTGGGTTGCAGGTTCAATCCCCAGCCCTGATTGGGGTGTGTGTGAGAGGCAACTAATCAATGGTCTCTCACACCGATGTTTCTCTCTCCCTCCTGCCTTCCACTCTCTCTAAAAATCAATGGAAAAAAACATCCTTGAGTGGAGATAAGCGTACACACAAACACACTCTCTCTCACACACACACACACACTCACACACACACATTGACGCTGACTAAAGGGGAGGATAAGATTCTCTCTACTATGGTGTGTGTCAGAGTCAGCAGGAGCCCTGCTCAGCACTGCTGTTCTAGTCCACGTGTTCTCAATTCTTCCCAATTACGCCTTGCAGGTCTTTCGAACCCTGCCCACTGTACTAACTCAGTCCAAGTTCCTCCTTGTCCTCTGCTCACTAGTTACAGGTGGTGGGTCTGAGCCCCTGCCTGAGGCTGGAGCTCCTGGGATGCTGGGTCTCAGACGGAGAGGCCATGAGAGGCTGTGGGTGTATAAGGATGAGTCCTTATTGAAGAAGCCAGTGGTCATATAGCCATCAGACAAGACAATTCTTCACAGCAATCCCATACAGGCAGCCGCACAACGGCTGGTGAGCACATCTTTCCCACGAAGCAGCTGTCTGAGCAGGCGCACACCGCCCCGCCTCCCCGCCTCCATCGCAGCGGCCCGCGCTCTCCCTTGGGCTGCAGCCTTACGCCTCTCGGGCTCAGCAGCTTCTCCGGCTTCCCTGCCCGCACGCACACTGCGGGGACATGCAACTGACCCGGAGCTCTCTGGGAGCTCCAGCCTCCTTCGGGCAGTGCCGCTCTCGGCTCCGGCCAAGCTGCGTTCTCGTGCCGATGGCCTCTGCATCTCTGAGCTCTCGCCTCGGCGCTGCTGGCTGCTCTCTCTCGCAGCTCCGGTCAGCAGCCTGTATTACTCCAGAAGCAGAGAAGGTTAGCTGCCAACAGCGACATCAACCCTTTGATTACAGAAGGGCACAGTGTACCGTATGTCCTTGCACCCACTTATGGTGTCTTGGCCTGGGCACCTGATGAGATTCATGCTCAGAGTGGCCTTGGCCATTCCAGTGATTGACATCAAGGCCTCTGTGCTCCCCCCGGCCCTGACTATCCAGGGACCTGGTGTGGTTCCCTCAGAATGACTGAACATTTCCATTAAAAAGGGTTTTTCTTCTAATGCTTGGGGAAAAAAATAACAGAACTTAGAGAAATGAGGGAATAATTACTTTAAATATGAAAGCAGTTTTCAATTTTAAAGAATTTGTTTCAACCAATATTGATTTTCCAAATAGTCCAGGTTGTGAGTGGGCCCAGCAGCTACAGCAAGACGGTGGGTCTCACCCAGAGGGCTCGCAGCTGATGGAAACATTGCCTGTCCTGCCCGACCCATGGCTTCTTTTCACAGGACATGTTAGGTCCCAGGAGGCTAATGGGGGCCCTGTTACTTGAGACAGGCCAGGAAGATGAGAGGGCATGGGTAAGGAGGGTGGGAGGGGGAAGCAGTGGGGGTGTCACAGAGGCGGCTCCTGCTACAGCTCCAGGCCATTTCCTGCCCTGGTGGCAGGAGACACTGTAGGGAGATGGGTGGGTAAAGCCTGGCCTTCCCCAGCTGGGCTCCCCCTCCTGCTCCTCCCCTTCCCCCTCCCCCTCCTCCCCTTCGCCCTGCCCCTCCTCCCTTTCCCCCTCCCCCTCTTCCCCTCCCCTTTCTCCTCCTCCCCTCCCTCCTCCCCCTCCTCCCTTCCCCCCTTCTCCCCTTTCTCCTCCTCTTCCTCCCCTCCCCCCTCCCCCTCCTCCCTTCCCCCCTTCTCCCCTCTCCCCTCCCCCTCCTCCCCTCCCCTCTCCCTCTCCTTCCCCCTCCCCTCCCCCTCCGCCCCTCCCCCCTCCCACCTCCCCCCTCCCCTCCCCTTTCACCCTTCTCCCCTTCCCCTTTCCTCTCCTCCCCTCCCCTCTCCCCCAGCAGGCTCTGACTGCTCAGACCACAGTGTTTGGAGACATCACCTTTCACCATCCCAGTGGGGTTTGCCATTAGGAGGGAGGACAGCTCTCTCTGAACAGGAGACACAAGAATGCAGCCTGTGCATTTAGAGGAAGCAATAGCTTAGACCCTCTCCCAAGGTCTGCCCCCACCCTCCCTATCCATGCCCCACTACCCCTGCCCCCACCCGAGGGGAGGACAACGCTGGGAATGGGGGAAGGGGGGCTGGACGTGCAGGGAGGTGACAGGGGGGAATTGGACGTGCAGGGAGGTGACGGGGGGCTGGATGTGCAGGGAGGTGATGGGGGTGCTGGACATGCAGGGAGGTGATGGGGGGGCTGGACATGCAGGAAGCTGACGGGTGAGTTGGACGTGCAGGGAGGTGATGGGGGGACTGGATGTGCAGGGAGGTGATGGGGGGGCTGGATGTGCAGGGAGGTGATGGGGGGGGCTGGATGTGCAGGGAGGTGATGGGGGGGTTGGATGTGCAGGGAGGTGATGGGGGGAGGGGGGGTTGGACGTGCAGGGAGGTGATGGGGGAGGGGGGGTTGGACGTGCAGGGAGGTGACAGGGGGAGGGGGGTTGGACGTGCAGGGAGGTGACAGGGGGAGGGGGGGTTGGACGTGCAGAGAGGTGATGGGGGGAGGGGGGGTTGGACGTGCAGGGAGGTGATGGGGGCTGGACGTGCAGGGAGGTGACAGGGGGGAATTGGACGTGCAGGGAGGTGACGGGGGGCTGGATGTGCAGGGAGGTGATGGGGGGGCTGGACGTGCAGGGAGGTGATGGGGGGGCTGGACATGCAGGAAGCTGACGGGTGGGTTGGACGTGCAGGGAGGTGATGGGGGGACTGGATGTGCAGGGAGGTGATGGGGGGGCTGGATGTGCAGGGAGGTGATGGGGGGGGCTGGATGTGCAGGGAGGTGATGGGGGGGTTGGATGTGCAGGGAGGTGATGGGGGGAGGGGGGGTTGGACGTGCAGGGAGGTGATGGGGGAGGGGGGGTTGGACGTGCAGGGAGGTGACAGGGGGAGGGGGGTTGGACGTGCAGGGAGGTGACAGGGGGAGGGGGGGTTGGACGTGCAGAGAGGTGATGGGGGGAGGGGGGGTTGGACGTGCAGGGAGGTGATGGGGGCTGGACGTGCAGGGAGGTGACGGGGGGAGGGGGGGTTGGACGTGCAGGGAGGTGACAGAGGGGGGGCTGGATGTGCAGGGAGGTGACAGAGGGGGGCTGGACGTGCAGGGAGGTGATGGGGGGACTGGATGTGCAGGGAGGTGATGGGGGGACTGGATGTGCAGGGAGGTGATGGGGGGGCTGGATGTGCAGGGAGGTGATGGGGGGGCTGGATGTGCAGGGAGGTGACGGGTGGGGGGGGCTGGACGTGCAGGGAGGTGACGGGGGGAGGGGAGGTTGGACGTGCAGGGAGGTGACGGGGGGAAGGGGGGTTGGACGTGCAGGGAGGTGATGGGGGCTGGACGTGCAGGGAGGTGATGGGGGGAGGGGGGGTTGGACGTGCAGGGAGGTGATGGGGGGAGGGGGGGTTGGACGTGCAGGGAGGTGATGGGGGCTGGACTTGCAGGCAGGTGACGGGGGGCGGGGGGGTTGGACGTGCAGGGAGGTGACAGGGGGAGGGGGGGTTGGACGTGCAGGGAGGTGACGGGGGGGAGAGGGGGTTGGACGTGCAGGAAGCTGACGGGGGGGCTGGATGTGCAGGGAGGTGACAGAGGGGGGCTGGACGTGCAGGGAGGTGACAGAGGGGGGGCTGGATGTGCAGGGAGGTGACAGAGGGGGGGCTGGACGTGCAGGGAGGTGACAGAGGGGGGCTGGATGTGCAGGGAGGTGATGGGGGGGCTGGATGTGCAGGGAGGTGATGGGGGGACTGGATGTGCAGGGAGGTGACGGGGGGCTGGACGTGCAGGGAGGTGATGGGGGGAGGGGGGGTTGGACGTGCAGGGAGGTGATGGGGGCTGGACTTGCAGGCAGGTGACAGGGGGCGGGGGGGTTGGACGTGCAGGGAGGTGACAGGGGGAGGGGGGGTTGGACGTGCAGGGAGGTGACGGGGGGGAGAGGGGGTTGGACGTGCAGGAAGCTGACGGG